GCGGAACATCTCAGTCTTCGCCACATCTTCGGGGAGACAGAGTGGAGTTCTTGTTATTTGCATGCAGCTTCTGGCTGTGAAGCCCGACGCGTTGGATGCGATACAAGAACAAGCACCAAATATTCCACGCGCTGCAATGGGCACCCCACCTTGCCCGGAGTTGAAGCGTGGAGAAGGCAGCGCCGGCCGACGGGCAAGAGACCCCGGTCGGCAGGATCACGAGCTTCGGAGGACCCCAGAGAACACATCGCCCGAAGACTGGAAGACGATCCACCAGAACCACCACCTGGTCTTCCAGCCCCTGAAGAAGCTCCGGCAGCAGTAGCAGCTGAAGATCAACCAGCAGAAGAAGTTGAGCCGGGGGAGGACCTTTTCAGTGTGAAGGAGATATGGGCGATACCTAAGGAGGCCAGTGGCATTCCCACTGAGACGGATGATGACAATTTCATTGACATGATGTGCTACCTCACCGAGGAGCCAGACACGTCAGTGATCGACCGGAGCGAGGTGATCAAGGACTGCGACATCACGGAGGCGCGGGCTGCACAGGACATCATTGGCGGCAAGATGACCGACGAGGCGACGCAGTCCCTGCAACCCGAGAAGGTCATGCAGATCGGCGTTGCAGCGGAGGCATGGAATGTGTTTTGCGAATCTTGGGGGATCCCGAACATGAGGATGACGTTGTTGTTCTTAGTTTCTACTAGGACGGACGACGTTGTTGTTCGGCCAAAGCAGTGGTCGAGAGAGTCGACAGCCTGTTGACCCCAGCCGAGAAGGTCGAACATCGAGATGCACTTCGTGCAGCACGTATAAAAGAATTGCGACACTGGGCTAGGTTCAAGGCTATGTCGAGGAGAGGACGGGAGTAGGCCAGGAACCTCATAAATGCGATGTGGGTCGACAAATGGAAGTGGGCGCAAGCAGCGGACGGTGCCATGACGCGGATCACCCGTTGTCGGCTTATTGTTTGTGGGTTCAGGGACAGGCATAAGGGCGAGGTCTAAACGTTTTCGGCGACGAGTACCAGATGGGGACAGAGAGTGGTTGACATCCTGGCGGCACAACATCGGTGGAAGTTGTGTTGCGCAGATATCTCTTCGGCTTTTCTTCAGGGCATGACTTTGAGGAGGTCGCGAAGTTGCTAAACGAGCCGGTTAGAGACACATGCTTCGAATTACCGACAGGAGCGGCCGAGCTATTGTATGAGGTAGAAGGCTTTGCGGGCAGATCCTCAGCTTTGGTTGGAGCATGCCGAGAAAGTTTTGGTGATGGTGGCTTCTGCGCACGTGGGTGATTGAAATATGCTGGCACTGATGACACGACGGGCGATATGGTGACAGCATTGGAGACAGCATGTGGCAAAATGGCAACGAGTGAAAGGAAATTTTTCTCACTGTGGACGTCGCCGCAGACAGCTTGTGGATGCGTCTATCGAGGTGGATCAAGTCGAATGCATCAAGACCCTGAATTGTATCGACGAGAAGGGGCTTCAAGGCAGAAGTGACGACGATGATCCACTGGAGAAGCACGTGAAGCTTGATCCCTCGCTGTTGGGCGCTATCGCTTGGTGTCTTATGACGAGAATTGATACATGGATTTACGCAGCGGCCCTACAGCGTCACGGGAAGGCCCCCAAGGTCGGACGCATCAGGAAGATGATTATTTTTTGAAGTGCATGAAGGAGCAACCCTTGTCTTTGGTTTCGAGGCAGTTGGAGTTGCCGGTGAAGCTTGTCGCGGTTGGAGATGCTGCTGCTCTTCGACGCGAACCGGGCGACAATGGTTTGGCCATGCGCGGAGCAGTTTACCTTCTGATCGAGGCAAAGCAGGAGATCGGAGGCAGGTGCAACATGCTGGAGTATTATGCGAGGGAGCAGGCGCGCGTCGTACGATGGACCTGGGGAGCTGAGTCAGTTATCAGACTGTTGTGATCATTTGTTGTTGCTGGCTGGATTCGTGACGGAGATACAGACAGGAAGGATCACATCGAGACTGCTGCGCAACATGGTCGAGGGCAGCGAGAACTGCGTGACGCCATCGGTGGGGCTGGACGCCTGTGTGGACGCGCAGAGTGTTTTCAGTGGCATCACGGCCGAGCAGGTGCGTATCCCAGCCGAGAGACATACGCTACATCACGCACAGTGGATACGCGAGCTACTGGACAGAGCAATTATCAGCCGGCTGTGGTGGATCGGCCAACGAGATTGTTGCGCCGACGGGCTCACGCAAGGAACACTTGTACGAGAAGCACTGAGGTGTGTCGTACGTGGCGAGCGGAAGGTTCTACACCCGGCTATCCCATGGAAGTCTTCCGGGAGAGTGCTCCAGAGCAGCAGCAGCAGCTCAAGTTGAGCATCGAGGGAGCGATCGTGGACCCCATATGTTGCGCGGCGGGCAGTGGCGCCACAGGTGCCTAGGCGACGGAAAGGTCGTGATGGCGCCAGGGTGCCAGGGCCCACCGCACGAGCTCGGAAGCACATGCACGATGGACACGACTGTGAAGACATATCAGTTCGTGTACTACGTCTTTGTTGTGGTGTTCGAGGCGATATCCTGGTTGTGGATCGATTGCGTGCCGGAGATCAACGAGCGCGACACGTTCACCACCAGAGTCGAGAACCCCCTGCAGGACGGCCCCGACGAGTGACGGAGGATGGCGACGCCCGTGTCGCCGCGGTGGCTCAAGGCCGACCGCACGGCGCGGGGCCCGGGCGGGCGCGCGCGGGCCCGAGGGCCCAGATCGAGGCGCACCGAGGGCGCTTCGGAGAGGGAAAGGATCCCTCACGACTGAGGAGGAGGAGGAGGAGGAGGAGGAGGAGGAGGAGGAGGAGGAGGAGGAGGAGGAGGAGGAGCAGCAGCAGCAGCAGCAGCAGCAGCAGTAGCAGCAGCAGCAGCAGCAGCAGCAGAGGGAGGCCTCTTGGGCGCCTCTTGGGGCACTCTTGGGGCCTCCCGGGAGCTTCTTTGGGGCCTCTTGGAGGGTTTGGGGTGCCCTTTGGGGGCTTCTTGGGGGCTTCTTCAGCCGTCATAGGGCGTTCCTGGCTTGTCTGACGCCGTCGGAAACCGTCTTGGGGGCCTGTCTGGGTCGTCTTGGGGCCCGCTTGGGGCATATCAGGGGCTCTTAGAGGCCATGTTGGGCGTCTTGGCGGCCTCTTTGGGCCGTCATGGGGCCATCTTGGAGGCCTCTCGAGCGATCTTGGGGGCCTCTTGCGCCGCCTTTAGCCGTCGGAATGCCGAGGAGAAGCAAACGCCAAAATCATTAAACATCCTTAGGAACATCAGTGATGTTGGTCTCTTCGGGCCCTCCTGGAGGACCTCTTGGAGGCCTCCTTGGGCCGTCTTGGAGGCCCCTGGGGGGCCTCTTGGGCCGTCTGAGGCCATCTGGAGGCCATCTCAGACCGTCTTGGGTGCATCTTGGGCCGTGTTGGAGGCATCTTGGGGCCATGTTAGCCGCCTTGGAGGACATCTTGGGCGTCTTGGAGGCCTCGTGGGCCTTTTTGGCGCCCTCGTGGGGGCATCTTGGGAGCCCTTTCGGCCGTCTTGGGGCCATCTTGGAAACCTCTTGGGCGATCTTGGGGCGGTCTCGGGGGCCTCTTGGGCCGTCGGAAGGACGAAAAGAAGCAAATACCAAAATCCTTCAGCAGCTTTAGGAACATCCATAATTTTAGGCTCGTCGGGCCTTCCTGGAGGACCTCTCGGAGGCCTCTTGGGCTGTCTTGGAGACTCCTTAAGGGGGCCTCTTGGGCCATCTGGAGGCCATCTCAGGCCGTTTTGGGTGCATCTTGGGCCGTCTTGGAGGCATCTTGGGGCCATCTGAGCCGTCTTGGAAGCCATGTTGGCCGTGTTGTAGGTGTCTTGGAGGCCATCTTGGGCCGTCTTCGAGCCGTCTGGAGCAGGAACAACCTTTTGCAACCACCTCTGGGCAATCTCGAAGATCTTTCCGGGTGGTCGGCGGGACGGGCCGACACATCTGGGGGAATTTGTTTGTTATATATCCATATGCATACAAACATACATACATGCATGCGTGCATACATGCATACATACAAACAAACAAACAAACAGACAAACAAACAAACACACAAACAAGCAAACAAACAAACACACATACATATATATATATATATATATATATATATGTATATATATATATGTGTATATATACATATTTATATATACACACATATGTATAAAAGGATCTAGCACGCCAGGCACCCCTGCGATGGATCGACAGGGGGCGGCGGATCGAAGACGCCTACGGCGAATCACCGCCGCCCCCTGCCTTTTTGGAAGCGCCTATGTGGCCGAACGTTGAGGCCAGACCTGCCAAGCTATCGGACCATGTTGTGTTCCCCGAATCGGTTTGAAAAGCCTTCGGGGAACACGTGGGCATCTTGAAGGTCATCTTGGCCGCCTGGAGGCCATTTTGACCCTTTCGGGCCTTCTTGGCCGTCTCGGAGGCCATCTTGAGCGTCTTGGAGGCCTCTTGGGCCACCTTGGGTGCCTCTTGGGGCCGTCTTGGGCGTCTTGGGTGATCTTTGGGGGCACTTGGGCCGTCTCGGGCGGTCGGAAGGCCGAACACATGCAAATGCCACAATCCTTCAAAAACCCATTGGGAATCAATGATTTTGGCCTTTTCGGGCCTTCCTGGAGGCCCTCTTGGAGGCCTCTTGGGCCGTCCTGGGCCATCTTGGTGCCAACTTCGGCCGTCTTGGTGGGCCCCCGGCCCGTCCGACGCCGTCGGAAGCCGTTTGGGGGGCTCTCTCTGAGCCGATTTGGGGTCCTCTTGGAATGTTCCTGGGCCGTCTTGGAGCCATCTTGGGCGTAAGTCAGTCTGTTTGGGCGTCGCATTGCAAGTAGAATGGTGGAGTTCGACAGACAAGTAGGCCGACATAATTCGACAGTCGCGAAGAAACGAATCCACTTCGAATCGCAGGATCTACAACCTGTGCCCGCCGAGCTATCTTCCTTCGATCTACCTTTCTGGGTGAACCCTGACAGGCGCCCAGCCATGAGGCTGCCACCGTGCTGAGCGCCGACGTGGAGGAAGAGATGGAGGTTGAGAGCCCCGCCGCAGAGGCGCGTGGCGAGCGAGAGAACTTATGGCAGTGGATGCCAGTGTTCGTCAATTGGCCACGAGGGAGTCAGCTAGCCATCAACATGACCTCAATTAGCTTTTTTTGCTGGCAGCCCAGAAGGACACTAGAAGACGTTTCCAATCGTCGCAGATCGCAGGGAGCAACAGCGCATCGTCATTTTCATTGGAGCCGTCTGTTGTTTTGGGGCGTGACGTGCTCGACGCCAGTTGGCAGAAGTTGCTATTGTTTTAGCACGACGGCTGGCTTAACCCCACCCTGGCCTCGAAGTGGTTTCAGAACATCGAGAGGTTACAGTCGGGGACTTTGGCTTATCGTGTCACGCCGCTGGTTCTGACTCACCATGCTTCGGCGCGACACGCAAACACTGCCGGGTCCCGAGGCGTCAACGTACTGAGCCTTTCCGAGCCTCCTGCACCGCGGAGCGGCGCGACACGCAATCCGCTTGCAAGGCACAGCGTGTCGCCGGGGCCGCCGTCGCGACACGTGAAGCAAAAGTTCCCGATCGTACCAAGAGTGCTGAGCCAGGTGTGAGCGCTTCCGGGGCTGAGTCGTCCTGCCCGCGCCGGTTTTGCTGTCCGCTCGAGCAGCAGCGGGAGCGCTCCTCTCGCTCAACAGGCACGGGCGGCGCAGGCCCCCAAATCGGTCATTGGCAGGCTTATGAGTTAGCCGTGGGGCCCAGGGTGTTGCCTCTCACTGTCGCTGATGTTGCTCTTGGCGTTGCTGCTGCGGCTGGTGAGATTGCAGCCGCCTCGCCTCGACGCACCCAGCTGACCCACGCGCACGGCATCACGCGTTTGCAACGGTACAGCTCTACATACAGCAAAATAATACCCGTGTCCAACCGGGCATCCAGAAGTGCAGGGACATTTGAGTGAGCGACGTCCACCTCGCCCTCCAGCTGTCCACCCTCATCGAAGCTCCCGTGCGACGCTCCTCAGGGGCTGGACGAGGAGGACGCCGCGCCGGTTTCCGAGACGGCGGAGACCCCCGCGACGGAGGCAGAGGGGAGGACTGAACAAATGAAGTAAATGAGCATTAGTAGTTATCGGGTGGCCTTCAGCCCATTCCTCTGTGTCTGGGTCGTGAAGAAGGAGGGTTTGGGAGGTGTCTCGTGATGCCTAGGTGTCTCGTGATGCTTCTGGGGGGCTTCTTGATAGCTTCTTGGGGACATGTTGTCGATTTGTCAGTATCGGGGGCCATCTTTGGGAGGAAGGAGCCCCATTCCTCCCCTAAACAAACAAACAAAAACAAACACAACGTTTGGGAGGGAACTTTTGGGGCTGCTTTTGGGCGATCTGTCCTCTTTGGCCGTCTTAGTCGCTCTTTAGACCGAAGTTCCGAACATGGCAATGTCATATGTTAGCCAGCGTGGACCATAAACAGTAAGCTACATTCCGTTGTGAATATGGTAGCTATGTGAGGCAACCTGCACGGTGCAAGCCATGTCGTGTACGCTATGTGGTGCAAGCTACGTGGTGCAAGCCATGTGGTGCAGCCTCGACGGACCTCCCCAAGTCTGGTGGATGGCAACGAGGCGGCAACGGGCGGCGACGCGGCGAAACCTCGACGGACCCCCAAAGTGGACGGCAACGAGGCGGCAACGGCCAGCGACGCAGCGAAACTTTGGCGGACCCCCCAATTGGGCGGCGACGCGGCGAAACCTTTACGGACCCCCCAAGTTGGCGGCAACGAATCGGCAACGGGCGGCGACGCGGCGAAGCCTCGACGGACTACCCCCAGTGGGCGGCAACGAGGCGGCACCACGGACGAGGCGTTTCAAATCATGTAAATCAACTTCGGATACCTTCCCATCCTTGGGGCCCCATCCCTTAGGGCTTTGGGCTCCACCTTTGAACCACCGATGGGGGCCTGAAACGTCCTGCACAATATTCCGTAGAGAGACTTCAGAGTGGCCTGATGACACTCCATACAGTGGCTCAAGGCACGGTGGCATATAGCCCCAAGGATCCGAGGTACAGTCTGCAAGACGCCGACCGATTCTAGGGATTCGCTGCTTTCTCCTTTACTTAGTGGGTAATGTTCAGCTGGCCCAATACTCATTCTCAGCGTCGACCCTGGAGCTATGCTGACTGAGCGGGTGAGTTGGCGTACAGCCTGAAGTGCCCCTGAGCGCCAGAGGAGGCGGGACGTGGCCCGATCTCGCTGAAAACAAGGGCCATGGGTCGCCTGTCGTGGCGGGGATGCGGACGGCCCCGTCGCCCCACCTTCTTTTGTCGTCGGCGATCCCAGGGGGGACAGTCAGAGGGGGCAGGCCTCCTGAGAGGACGGCGGGGCTTCTCAGACGCCCTCGCGGCTTCCGAGAAGCCGTCCGCGGCTTCGGAAAACGCTTGCAAGGCTTACAACTCGGCTCAAAATTTGTCCCCAGGCCCTTCCCCTGGTCCATCTGGTGCAGTTTTCCGCCCCGTGTCCGTTTTTGACGGCCCCGGGGCCCGACAACGGCCCCTGGAGACAGAAAACCGCCACATGCCTTCTCGAATACAGCGCCTCGTTGGAGGTCCGCGCTGATTTCTGGGATCGGCGCTGGACCCCCGCCCCCGCCGCCCTCTGAGAAGGCCTGCCTCCTCTCACGTCCGCCCTGGGCTCGCCACCGATTCCTGCGCGCGCCGCCAGTGACCGCGGGCAAGCCTGCGCAGGCGTCCTGCGGCAGAGCTGCGCCGAGCGCCGCGGCGGCGGTGGCGGAGCTGCCCGCCACGGAGGCGCGGGGGGGAGCGGGAGAGAACCGCGGGTAACAGGACTTGGGCCTCCCAGATGGGGTCGGATGATCGCGCCGCATCGCCGATGCATCCGGCGATGCGGCTCGATCTGGGGCCCGACTTTCTCCACGCCGGCGGCGCCGATGCAACGCCGATGCATCGTCGATGCGTCGCCGATGCTGTTCGATTGTCTGAGCCCATCTACTCGGGCCCCATGTGGGAGGCCTCTGCAGGAGGGCAAGCTAAACAGAGTGGGAGGAGGCTGTCAAGTTTTCCGCGTCGGACATGGCATGCCTTCGGGCTGCGCCGCTGGTCTCAACACCCTGGCGCCGCCTCTGGTGGCGCCCCTGAGGCCCTCCACGCCCCAGGGTTGGGATGTTAAGACCGCCCTGGATTATTCGGGGGGTATCTTGAGGCAAGCTGAGACTACTATGCGACGGGCCTGTTGAAATCGTCGACGCCCTAACGCGCCGCGCCCCCCTTCCCTCCCACCTCCGACCCAAGAGGAGAGAGGATGGGCAGGGGTTTACCCTTCCCCAAAGGGGAAGCAGGGGGGTGGAATGACTGATCCAACCTACGCCCCGAGAGCTGGTGGGATTACTACAGGGGAACCCTTGATAGACAATATGGCAATGGAGCTATTCTGCAGTGTTCTTCAGGCGTCCATGTTGTAGTTGACCAGGCTGTCCCCGCCCTTGTTTTCTTGTCTCCAACATTGTACGACATCTTAGTGCGCAAGCGGCGGCCTCCAACCATGACTCATGTGATTTACAGTGCTTGCCAGCGTGGACCCCAAACAGAAAGTTATGTCACTGTGGATGTGCAAACTGTGTGATGCACAAGCGTTTCGGCGGTCGTGTTTCGAAGGGCAAGTCTGCATCCTCGGGACACCCCCACAGGCGGCAACGGCAGGCACCGGGCTGGAACGTGGCGAATCTTCGGGACACCCCCACAGGCGGCGACGGGGCGGCAACAAGCTGGAACGTGGCGATTCATCGGGACACCCATACAATCCCGTAGAAACACCAGCAAGAACCCCTGAATGCTAGCGCGGTTTGGGGAACATTTGCCAAACTCGAACTATGGCAGGCTCGTGCGCTAAGTCAAACAGATGGTCGCTGCCACACACCACTTTTGCAATGACCTATCGTTCACTGCGTAAGAAGAATGTGACTGCCGTATTTTCCCATCGACGCGTAGCCGCCAAACTACCGATCAATTATTATGTTTCGCTTCCGCTTCCCCTTTGCGAAAGACGAGCCGACCATGTGAGGGCATTTCATTAACGGCTCCAGTGCGCGAGGTCCGCCGCAGGTTGCTTAACGTCAGCGGGAGCAGGCATCTGTTATGAACCTGTTTGAAGATCGACTGCAGATCCGTAGCCATGTGGGCTGAAGTTTTCGGATCAAGGAAGCCCCTTGCCACGCCGCGGGCCGCCCGCGCCCGCGAGGCGATGCGCCGCAGGTTTTCCACGGCTCGGCCTGTGGTGGCGCAGCCAGGCCCTCCAGGGCCCGAAGTGGAAACAGCCCCGCTCCTGCACCCACGGGAGGAATCGTCGCCCGCCCAGCCGCCAGACGGCGATCACGGCGCTGCCCTACCGCCGGGCGGGGCGGCTGCTGCGCGGGCCGGGTCCTGGGGGGCGTGGCCCCCGCGGCGAGTCAATGCACCCCTTCCGCACCACCATCCTATTGACCTTCCTGTTCCTTTGCCTTGCGTGCATTGTCCGATGTACTGACTGTTTCTCTCCCGCAGCTACACGTTGGCTTCAGGTTGGCGGAAAAAGGAGCGTGCCTGCGGCGCGCGCGCGTGCGTCGGCCGGCGGGCCGGCCTCCTCCCTTCAGTGCTGTCCTAGTGTAAGTTTGACGGCATCATCCCTTTTTCCCCATGTCATCGGCGCAGCCCACTGACCATGAGACATCAACAGAACATATTGCAGGGATGATGAATACCCAGGCAAAAGATTGGTTATAAGCCGAAACGACGGCACAGCAACTAGCTTCGCAGAGCCTGGGATCACAAGAAGGAGCGCTCGGACGAACAGAAGACCAATACCCTTCCGAGCGCAACGAAAATGTAGACGCCTCTACGAGGCGACCAAAGTCTTTCAACCTTCCCAGAAAGCAAGCATCAGAGACTGCGTTTGACTTGACAGAAGAGGGCTCTCCGGTTGACTCGGCGACAAGGTCCACAGCACAGACCTCGGGCGGAAGGTACGGCACAGCCAAAACTTCCGCCGAGGGACCATCTGAGTTGGTGCCGGTACATCCGGGCTTTCAGCCGTCGATCGACGTAGATATTGAGATGGAGAAGTTGTTGGACCACGTCCCCATAGGAATGTCGGGCGACGGGGGTCTCGGCGCAGAACGCGCAGCGCAGTTCGCGCTGCATGGGCAGAGCGAGGATGTGAATGACCTGCAATCGGAAGGGGACAGTTCCCATTCGATTTGAAAGAACGAAGACTATGCCCGATTCCACACCTCGCCTGGTCCATCGTATCATCTCGATCCTCTGCCCGATGGATGTGACGGGCTCGCCTCGGGCGCAGCTCCGTTAGCGAGCGCGTCAGTTGACCATGTAACGGTTGCGGCAAGCCAGAAGGCAATTCTTGTTTCGGATGACGATATCGAAGACGGAGGAAGCCCAGACCGAGGTGGATGCTCGTCGGCACAGCCGATGTCGAACTCCCCCGATGTGATACGCGCAATGAAGAATACACGAGAATCAACAGGCATGACTCCCCATCCAATGACAAAGAAGCCGAAGGGTGAGAATGATTATTTAAACTCTTTGCCTGTATTGCACGGTTTCCACCGACCAGATTTCTCATTGCCGAGGACTAATTAACAGGGACAGAGCACCAGAACTTGATGAGTTAGTAATGCAGGACGAAAGAGACGATTTCGCACATAATCGGGGCGTCGAGTTCACCAATAGGAGTGTGAGAACAAGGGAACAACACGCGCCTACCTCCAGCAGTGCACGGGGGCGTTCCAGTAAGGCCCCCAGGGCCGGACGTTCCAGTTCTAGGGGGTTCGACGCCCTTGGACCACCGCGGCTGTCGTCGAATAGAACCGCCAGCAGCTTCTCAACGCGGGAAAGTCGCTGGAAAGCCGGGCCCGCGTGCCCGACTCAGGCGGGGAATCGATGCCCAGGGAAGGCGCGCAAACCGGGGGGGGGTCATGTCGGAGGCTAGTGTGTTCGCGATGTTCGAATGTTTGTCCTAAGTATAGTCTAGCATGGTTTTGTGAGTGATGCATTGCGACGGAAGAGCACAATTGCCATCGTATCGCCATTCTAGCGTGGGCCGAAAGAAGTAGACAGGATCGAGAACAATTAAGGGTTGCGAGTGCACAAATTCAACAGATCATCCGTGAGGCACAGGTAGACAAGGAGGCTGAACGCATGCTTGCAGTTTCTGAGGCAGAGAGGCAGGCAATGGCACAAATGATGGAATATGAGAAAACTGCCATTGCGGAAAATGCGCAGAAACGGATGCAGCATGCTGAGGCCAGTGCAGCAGGAGTTGCAGACGAAGCCCAGCAGCGCCTTGCCCAAGAGGAGAATGAAACATTGAGAATCCAGAGCATAGCCGAACAACTGGTGTCAGAATCGCAGCAAAAGGCCAAAAGGGAGAGAGCTGAACGCAGAGAAATGGCTGACGCAGCCAGGGGAGAAGGAGAGAGAGGAGCCCGAGAACAAGCAGCGCGAGAAAATCAGGAGCTCCGCAGTCGACTTGAAGCTGCTAGACTCGAGGCCGAAAGAGTAAAATCGGAAGCCCTGCGAGCCCTCCGAGAACGAGAGCAAAAGGCCCAGGTAATCAGAGACGGGCCACAAGAGGATGGCCGTCGCCCGGGGTCATCTGAAAGGGCACGCAGATGAACAGATAAGAAACAACGTTCTCGCCTCTCGGGCCGCGAGCGAGGACAACAGGAGGTTGAGGTCTGACCTGGGGCAGCATCGGATGGGCGAAGAATCGCGGGATAAGGTTCGGTTAACCGGGCAGCCCGCGACGTAATCTTTGACAGGAGTAGGGCCCGCGACTGCGGCGTCGCCGGCAAAAGTGGACCCCGAGGAAAAGGTCGGACCAACACCGGCACAGCCGGCGTATGTTGAGCCGCCTCCTCATCCGATCGCTGCTCGCCCCATTCGGGAGCCTGGCACCATGCAAGCTCAAACACGAGCAGGCAACCCGAGTCAGACCTGTCACGTGGGTATTGAACCTTCGAACGAGGTACGCAAGGGTTGCTTGAAGCGCACATGTAGGGATCATCTGCACATGGGTGCCAGACGGCGCGATGAGCGCGCTTGGAAGAAAGAGTTTGGACGACAGGATGATCGCGAGAAAAGGGAAGGACCTCGAGGCATACCTGATACTCAGCGGGCCAACAACGATCCCGATGAAGAGGCACCGGGGCACTCGGCTTTGCCTAAGAATGTTGGACCCGAGCGCGAGACAAGCAATCTTGCTCACATTATGGGCATGCCAGTTTCCAAATCAGAAAAGGCGGATTGTGGTAAGATGCCAATGCTGACCGCTCCGTCTGTACCAACGCTTCCATTCGCATAATCGCATTTCATTCCTGGACCAGCTGTCGAGAAGACTCTTGGAGCGAGCGAAGGCTCGATGCGGGGGCGTGCCCAAGGAGCGAATCTTGTGAATGTCCTTCTCAATGCCAAGAAAGCAGAGCCTCCTGGCAACCTCGACTTGCCCGGGCGCCTTCCTTTCACCGCCGGCCCAGCCGCGATTGGCGAAGGAGGTGAAAACACGGGGGGGGCACCACCACGATCAGAGAGACGATCAGAGCACAGACCCCAGCACCGGCATGATCGTCGCGATGCAGTCTGACGAAACGGGTAAGCCCAGGCCACCCAAAGGCCCTCCAGGGGGACCTGGTGGCGACGGCGATCCAGACGGAGACGGCGGCGGGGGGCCGAATGGCGGCCCAACCTGGCGGCCGCTTAATGCGAATCAAATGGATGTGAATTGGAGGAGCTTTGGGAAC